TAGAAAAAGACAAAATAATATAACAAAAATTGTGGTTTATTTCCAGGATATTTATATTTAGGCAATTAATGTAGCTGTTCTGTTAACACTATCTGCACCATCATCTTTACGCTCTCTAGTAACAAAGTTGCAGCATTACTTACATAAAAATCTACCACTCAGAGATGTGCAGAACTTTCCCACTTATTGAATCACTAAGCTAAAACAATTTTTTTAATTCAAATGCTAATATTAGCACTGTTACTTCACAATTTAGATCATAATTCCTTTCACTCATTACTGTAATTTGAACAGATCTTCCACAGAACATGAACAATCAGTCAGCATTATGAATGTCTGAGATATTTAAAAGGAAATGATAGGAGAACAGGACTGAGAAAGGGTTTGACTGAGATACGTGGAGTTCAGAGGACAGAAAGGATGTGCTCACTGCAGAGAGGACAAGTAAGGAAAGCACTGAAGAGCATGAGACAGTACCTGTGCCTGTGTCATGACTGTTGGTCACCTTGAGGCCAGGCTTGGCTAATGCTGTAGAGGCAGACACAGGCATACCTAGATACACAGGCAGGAGCTGAGAGAAAATAGCACTGAAACTGCTTCAGATGTCCTAGACCAGCTGCTCTGGGTTTATTGTTGTATCCTTCTTCTTTTTTTTTTTCTTCTTTTTTCTTTTTGTTTCCCACCATCAGTTGCAAGAAAAATCAAAGAAAAAGAAAAAAACTCCAGTGAAACAGAGAAATCAGAAGGAAGTGCGTTCTGTTACACCTGCACCCACCACAAGTAATGCTCTGACATCTGAAGCAGCAGAGGAGACTCCTGGAGCTGAGCTAAGTTTTAAAAAGAGGAGCAGGCTTGAAGTCTCACAAAAGAACTTTGCTGTGATATTTGGTTCTTCATTAATATTCTGACACAGTTTACATTTAGCAAATTGAGCAATTATGGGTTATGTTTGTGCCAGGCAAAGAGCTAGGCACCGTGAAAATGTAATAAAAATTTCTGTAACATAAATCTGACATCATCGTCTTCATTATAAAAATGGGATAACAATCAGATTTAAAATACATGTCCCCATGCTTATACAAACTTAGATTTTCTAACTCCAACTCCATTGCTCTTCGCATCACACTACAGAAATGATTAGAGAAACAATGTGTCAAAATTATTCATTCTTTTTTAATGTAAACATCTAGGCCTACTCTTACCTACTGGCCATATCTTCAGGTGATGAATTGTAATTCCCTAAGGTTTCCAAGGACATCACATCCAATATAAATAGAACCTACCATACAATCATGAAAATATGGTCTGTTTCTTTTGATACTGAATGCCAGTGACAGGAAAATTAAGCTACATTCAGAAAAGGAAAAATACAACCAAAGAAAAGACTGGGACCAAAAGGAAAAAGGTGTCCCAGGAGCAGAGTCAGCTTCCCTGTCCTGCACGAGCCAGCGTATCTGCAACCATGTGCCATCCCCCACCTCCCCAGATCTCATCATCAACTCCATCCAACACTTCTTTGACTCAGGTATGCTATTTCTATTTCTGTTTGCCAAATTTTCTTTAACACAGGAACAATGCATCCCACTGTTACTATTGTTACTCTCATATATAACACTTCTGTTATTAGTTTGCTTTGGGAAAAGTGTTATCTGTGTTATTACAAACTGTTTGCATTGATGAGAAGCTATAACCAAGTAAATCCAATCACCCGCAGGTGATCACCATGTGTCATATGAGGACAGCCCACTCTAAGCACTTCTTATCTGTGGAGGTAGATAGTTTGGCTCTATTTGCTAGTACATATGAACCCATGCCTCAAGTTTGCTCTCCATACTTTCTATTACAGATCAGGCAACTTTCTCTTCATAAATGTGTTCTGCTGTAACTCAAAAGGACCAGAGCACTGTGGGAAAAGGAGACTAGAGATAAACATACTTGTCCTCTGTTTTTGTTAGCACTGCAGAGACATTGTGAAATGCTGTGGACACACAGTTGAGGACATGGCTCTAACCTGAGATCCGCTATCTGAGCCTACTTAGATGTTGAGCCAGCCTGTGCTTTTCTCACCACTTGTAACAGAGTACTGTTTATTGGGAAGGAACAAGGAGTTGGACTTTAAAAATGGCACAGGGTTCACTAGCGATAACTGGAAACACTCATATTTGAGGCTTATGGTGAGCACCATTCCTCATTCAAGTTGTTTCTTTACTCTATTGATTGTCTTTGGTCATTTGGGTAGGTAGAAAGTATAATTGGACCTATTATTATGTTCTGATCTTTCCTTCAAGTCACTTCATGACAATGCTATCATCATCCACAGCTCTATGTTGATCATGCAGAGGATCTTGGTTTCAGAAAGACTATTCTGTTTTGAGGGTGTTCTGACTTCCATGGCTGCTGTCACCTACCTTATACTTCCTCTAGCTAAACAATACCAGTTCATTAATTACCCATTCTTTTCTGCCCAGGAATCCCTCTCTAGCCTAGCCCCAGCTCCAAATAACCATGAGGTTGTTGGGCTCAGTGTTGTGATTGAGGTTTCTCTCGTGGCAAAGTGACTTTGCACTCCCTGTTCAGACTTCTAAGTTTTTTGTATGTGTCAGTCCAACACAGAATAAGAACACCCAGGCCCAATGTCAGGTTGCCATAGGAAATGTTCTCCAAAAGGGTCCAGCCACAGTGATGGTACTGAAGCAACAGAGCCATTTGAATATGAGTCCCCAGAAGAGGGCAAAAACACAGTGTTTCATGCTACAGTGGCTACTGAGAGTCAAGTTTTTCCAAGTGAAGGTTTTCAACACCAACTTGAAA